GAAACATAGATACTTGGAAGGTTATAATTTTTTTTTTCCTATAATCCCTGTATGTTCTACTCCGAAATTTTGATGAAAAATAATTTTCTATTATTTCTTTTCTTTTTCCCTTATCAAAGGATTTTTTTTTTTCTTTCGTAATTTCTTTTCCTTGTGTGATTTCAGGGACACTGCTAATCGAACCAAAGCCACAAGAACCTACAAAACACCAGTACACATCTTACCTTTTCAATCAATAATTTTGCACTACCTGTTATCCATATCCATAATAAACTTATATTCCTCCAGGTATGATTGGGATGCTGCAACCTCAGCTAATTTCTTGCGAAAATATGGACTCACAGGTATAATATTTACTTACCCTTTTCACCCAACTGTCTCCCAGGAACTAAAAATTGAATGTGACATCTTTCCACATTTAAAAATTTATGTTGTCAAGCAGTGCATAATTAAGATTTTGAACTGTTTATAACTTCCTTGATGTGCTTAGATAAAAAAATATTATGTTATTTGCCTTTTTCTGCTAAGTTCTTTAGACCTTTGCTCTATATGCATATATGCAAGTCCATTGTTAGTTTTGTACTCGATATGGCACTATTTTTTTTCCTCTTATTGAGTTAAAAAAACAATCTTTCTCCCTAAAATTAATGGCCAAATGGTCCCTTGTTTAAATTAATTTAGCCAGAGGCAAACTAACATAGCCAGGACTAGTTCATCACTTTTATATTAGTATACACACTTAATTTCTCTATTTTTCTTCATTAAGAACAATGTTACTCCAATTTACAAATTTCTCTCTGCCTCATTCCTTTTCCTTCTCTAGGGGAATTTAAACTCAACATAGAGTGCAACCATGCCACCCTCTCTGGTCACAGGTGAATCAACAGAGTCCATGATCATACTTTCCTTTTTAAATTTAATATTAAAAAATCATAACTAAAGTTGGACATGTTCTTTGTACCTTCAATGTCTGTTGTACCTGATAGTTGTCATCATGAGCTCGAAACTGCAAGGATCAATGGATTGTTGGGTAATATTGATGCAAACACTGGCGATCCTCAAGTTGGTATGTGTGAATTCTCTCATTTAATAATGTAATGTAACTTTTAACATGGAAGTATGAACTGTATTAACGTGTCGAAAGAATGGAGCTTGTAATATTAAGCTTTTATCATTACTGCAGGTTGGGATACAGATCAGTTTCTCGTAGATATTCAAGAGGCAACACTGATTATGCTCAGCGTGATCAGAAATGTAAGAAAATGCTTGTCAGTGAGCTGGCATCATGAAATGCAACTTCATGTTAGAAATGCAATTTCATCTGATGAGGTTCTTGTTTTCTTTTGCCTTTTCCAGGGAGGACTGGCACCAGGTGGATTCAACTTCGATGCAAAACTGTGAGTCCTTTATCTTTATTTTATGATTTTTCCCTCAATTTCTTAACTGAACAATATTTTAGGCGGAGAGAGAGCACAGATGTTGAAGACTTGTTCATAGCCCACATTGTTGGAATGGATACCATGGCCCGAGGCCTGAGGAATGCTGCCAAGCTAATTGAGGTGATATACTGGATCCTCCCTTTACATATATTTATATTATCATAATTCAGATGTGCAAATTCAATGATAGCTTTTTAATCTCCCATGAGAATCAAACTAAATGTTTCTCATTATGTTGTATTGAAGGATGGTTCTCTGGCTGAGCTTGTTCGTAAGAGATATCAAAGTTTTGACACAGAAATTGGGGCTCAAATAGAGGTAACATTCTTACAACATTTTCATTTCCTCCTTTTTATTTAGTGCTTTTTTATGACTAACATAATCGAAATGATTGTTTCCCTAGGCTGGGAAAGCTGACTTTGAAATGCTTGAGAAGAAGGTCAAGGAATGGGGAGAACCAAAGGTTGCTTCTGCGAAACAGGTAACTCAATATACAATGGACAAATGTAAATTTGATTTTTCAGCTTGAAAAATAGTGCAAGACCCCAAATTTATAGTAAAACCCCAGGATCCAAACATCTAAAATTATCTTGAAAATGACCCCTACAACTAAATCTAACCTAGAAGACATTAACATTATGCTTAAAAATATTATCCTCTGTACATCGTTAGGCAAATAATAGTTTTCTTGGTTTGAATCTGTTTCTATAAAAAAATATTTTTCGTGGAATACTACCAATAAGATTTTTCTATCATCTCAGTTATTAACGAGCCTTTGAGGAAATCATACTCCTTTGAATTCAGGCTTTTCATGAGCCTAGCCGACTGGGATTGAAAAAATGCATTTGACCCTCTGCAGTATACACAAGATGACAAGAACTGATGAAATGGAAACATTTTCTTTGCAGATGAATATTTTTTTTTATATCCATGCTGATTGACTAACAAATTGCCTTTGCCCATTCAAGCTGTTATGTTTTATTTTTTAACATCCTAGCTCTCTCACAGTATTTACTTATCGACAAAATAGATTCTAATAAAGGTCTTTGTGGTATGTTGCAGGAGCTCGCCGAGATGATCTTCCAATCTGCTTTGTAGAAAGCAAAATCTAGCCGTGTATGGTGACTACATCTCGTCAAATAAATTAGGAACAATTAGGAATATTAGATTTAGTAATAATAGGAAATTGAGATTGAGTTATGGCTGCTTCATTTTCTTTGGAAAAATTGAAGTGTGGAGCTAAAATCTGCTAGGTGTCCCAGTTCATACGTATCATGTTAGTTTATGTATAAAATTACGTGACGCGTGTCTTCCCTGGCCATTGGAAAGAGCTATGAGTATGTCTGAGACTCTTTAAGTTAATTTTAGTTTCTACTCTTTTGATCTTTATCATTATTATTCTTAACACAATGTTATCGTTCATACTGAATTTACTGATATTGCAACCCAGTGCGAAAAGTACGAGAAAGGATTTGGCTCATCTCATTGTACGTGGTGAGTGAGAAATATATACGAATTTTTTTAATAGAATTTAAATTTTAATATCGAATACATAGGGAGCTTCAAAAGGGTCTACACGAAGGTTATTTTTCAACTTATAAGAGTAATTTATAACTTTCATAAGTTTTTTTTAATAATTTATTTCAATAAATTTCGTAAGTTTTTTTTTAAATTTATTTCGGTTAATTTCGTAGAAGAGATCATCAACGAAAAAATGTTATCTTTTTTTACTTATTTTTATAATTAAATTAATAAATACTGTTTTAGTGTTTTATCAAACAATTGTTTAGGCTATTATCCAAACATGGCTAGTGAGTTAACCAAAGGCACATAGATGAAAATACGAAACCATTAGAATGGAGTCTTGAGACTCGAGCCGTGATACGCAATGCGGTCTGTTCTCGTGTACATGAAATCAATGATCAATCAGCCTTGTTGATCGGCACTGATTATCTAACTTTTGTTCAAAATTAATTAGTTTAGTTAAGGATTAAATATCTTGTTGTCCAATAATGTTATTTACTTTCTGTTTTAATTCCTATAACTTAAAATAATTCTTTTAAGTTTTATACATATATTTCCCCCCCTTCGCTTCCCGTCATTTATTATTTATTAAAGTCGCTTATATTAATGTGACGTGGCAAATATCATTATGTGATGACTTTTTTTAAAAAATACATTTTTGTCTTTATAGTTTATTTCATTTTTTTATTCTATTTATTTTCTTTTTTAGTTTATAGTTTAAAACATTATTTTATTCTTTCTATATTTTTTTCCTCTTAGTTCTCATTTATTTTTTTATTAATGTCATTGATGTTGTGAAAATATGATAAAGACTATTTCAAAATGACTTTTTTGGCGTTAATTTTTATTTAAATAACTTTATAATAGATTTCATCATTCAACTACAACAACTATATGTATGGTTTTAAATTCATGACTGTAACACTTATTATTGAGCTTTGGTTCCTTTCTCGCAATAAGAGATATTGTTGGATTCGAAATTTGACTTGTGATTGATATGAATATGATTCATTTTTATTCAAGAAGAGAAAAATGAAGTACAATAATCAAAAGTAGAAAGTCTTCTTCAACGATTAGTTATTGTGTATGTAGAGGGAGATGAGATTGTATCCATCAAATATTTAGAAATTTTAGACAAAAATTATTAAGGTATTCTAATTATAGGACAACATAGTGTTGATTTCTAATTGATTTTAGGTTCTTTTAAATATGTTTTCTAGTTTTTTTGTTATTGTCTCATTAGGATTTTTGATGTAGGAGGTATGAGATTGTGGGTACTTCTAATATATAAATAAAACAACATGTGAACATACCTCTTGTATGTTATGTGAATAATTAGGGTTATTGTTTTGTTTTATTAATAAAAAATATCTCTCATTTTAAACATATCACTTCCATATCATTTGAACTATTGTGGTTAATATTTATCATCAAAATTACAAACAACCCGGCAAAAATAGGATCCAGTATTGCAATTTAGCCCCTAATGAGAAAAAGGCACATAGAATTCATCAATGACATTTAGGAAAGGCCCAAAATGGAACAGAAATCCATGTCTACAGAGAAAAGGCTCATGATACATGCAACTTTTTTTTTTTTTATAAGTAGACCTCCTTTTTAAATTTTTTTATAAAATATTATAATTTTTTTTAAAAAAATTTAATTTTATACTTTCAACTTTCAATTTGTTACTTTCTTCTTCTTATTTACATTTTTTTTTTTCTCTTTCAATTTTCACATATTACCAAAATAGGTGGGGTGAAAGAAAAATAAAAGGGTGTATGTAAAAATTGAAAAAAGGAAAAAGATGTGTGAAAAAAAAGTACTAAATTAAATATTGTGGATGTAAAATTAAAAAATTTTAAATAAAAAATTAAAAATATTTTAAAATTTTAATTATTTTTTTTAAAAGGAGGTGTACTTATAAAAAAAGGAGGTCTATATATCATGAACCCAGAGAAAATATTGAAAATGAAACGGAAAGGCCCAGTTCCAGGCCCAAAATTGGTTGTAAATGGGTAAATGCGCGAAATGACAGTAGAGTAGAAAGCGGGTGCTGTAAGGTGCGAGATCCCAAAACCGAAAGGTGGAGGGCGAGGGAATCGAAACCATCGACTATTTATCTTCATTCTCGTCGTCGTCGTTGTTCCTTCTTTTTCCGTCTCAGAAAAAGCGTGCCAAACCTAATCGATCATTTTCTCTTCTCTTTCAAATTCATCACCATCGCTCCCTTCCTTCCACTATGCACGCAGATTAGATTCACACATTCACACTCGCATTCACTCCTCCTCAGGCTCACCCTTTCTGCTTTGAGATCTGATTGCATTTTCATTCATTTCTTCCGCCACAAAGGAAATTTCATTCAGCAAGAGTCATTCGTAACCGATTGATGCGCTAATTTCAATTGCCCTGCGAGCGTCCATCTGCCGAATCGGAAGATGGGATTAGTGTTTACGAAATTGTTTTCCTCTCTTTTCGGTAACAAGGAAGCTCGAATCCTCGTTCTCGGCCTCGACAATGCCGGAAAAACCACTATTCTCTGTATGATTCCTCCCTCTCTGCTTCTCCAATTTGATGTTTCTCGAATTGATTTGTTGGATTTTTTGACGTTCCTTTTCAGATCGGCTTCAGATGGGTGAAGTTGTTTCCACCATTCCAAGTTAGTACTCGATCTCGCTTTACATTACCTGAATCTTAAACGTTGCAACATTTTTTGTTTTGGATGTTACGGTCTACCGAGCGATCTTATTTTGCATTATAGGTTCCTTAATCTCTGGTTAAATTTTATGAGCTCGATTACATTTATTATTTAATTAATTGTTTGTGTCTATTATAAAATTATTAAAGTTGTTCTGTATGTTATTGGTAAAAAAATGTAGACAAAATTAAAGCCGTGTTATTTTCAGTTTTTCTTTCCTCTATATGTATGTGCTTGCTGCTTGTAAATGTTTACGCTGCATGGATGGTATTTACTATTTATGCTATTCCATTTATCCTTTTGTATAGTGGCTGATTGATTTATTTGATTATTTGATGCAGCAATCGGTTTTAATGTCGAAACAGTGCAGTATAACAACATTAAATTTCAAGTCTGGGATTTGGGTAACGACACTAAATTTCTGTTTGTTTTATACTGCATGACATTCTTCTATCTTGTACGAAATACAGGCAAGCATGCATGTTATATACTTGAACTCTGTTAGTTTTACTACTGGGTACTGTAAGGGCTATACATAACAAATGGGTTGGTATAGTTTTGTCCTCCTTTTGTCATAAATATTTTTATCAGTTGGTATTTTTAAATTTTGATACTGTCCAAGTGAAGATAAAAACGTAGCTTTTTCATGTTTCATGTTTCCTTTGATACATATCTACTTTGTATTGCTTAAAGATAATTCTCAGGCTTCTGTAACTTAAATATAGTTTATTGCAATTTACAAGCATGTGAACTTATGTGATGCATAATATCCTGTAATTTAGGAGGGCTTATTCCAATTGTCTAATTTTTGATATCACACATTTGTTTATACAGGTGGGCAAACAAGTATCAGGTAAGCACTATGACTTCATTCTTGCTTCTTTTGACCAATGAAAAATGTATAATTTTTCTCTCTAATATTTACTTTAAACAGATAGTAGCGGGTGACTTTTGATTTGCTATAATGTTGCACCAATTGTTATTTTTTTATCACTCCTATTTGATATAAGGATGCAATGCAATTGTCATTGACTAGCATGTCAAGGAATTTTGTGCTACAATTTTGGATACTAAACTCTTCATGCATTGCCATTTTTTTGTCTTAGTCTGTTAACTATCCCATATTGCTGTTTACATGTTTACGCTGTTATGAAGTCCTTCATGTGTGTATGTGACACCATAAGGCAAGTTCCCTTTTGCAGTAGTACAGAAAGATACCAATCCTAATGTAGTTAATTAATATATTTCTTTCTAATAATATAAATATTTAAAATCATAATGAATAGAGTACTTGAAGAGAGACAATGCATAATGATGACAACTCCTCAAAATATGGTAGCATACGGGCCGTTTATTTTGAGGTAGCATACGGGCCGTTTGTTTATTATATATTATGACCAGTGCTGGATTGAAACTTTGATATCACCAACCAATCCTATAGGCTATATGTTTACAACTATGGTAGCAACCATTATGGAAAGAAACATGTTATTGTAGATGAAACATCAAATAGTCATTCTTTGTGGATTTGAAGATGAATATTAAATTCAACTTCACCCTTGTAGTTTGGTTCAATTCTTGTGTGCCACCTTGAGATTTGAACTTTCTTTGCTTTTAACAGTTGCTTTGTAATCATATATCCATCCGCCTATCTTTTCTGTCCATGTTATCCTAAAATGCATGCAATATGCAGCATAAAAATGCATCATTTCAAGGGGTTTCAATTCAATGCCGAATGACAACCTCATTTTGTGTGTACATTACTACCCACGCACATCAGTTCCCTTACATAGGCATAAAAAAGGAATTTGGTGATAACATGATAACAGAACAAACTACTAGCATATAGAAAACTGAATGGGCCGAAAGTAAGCTGAGAACATAAGTTTAACCTTAATTGATTTGTAAACATTTGGGATTTTGACAAGTTTTCCATTGGTTAGAGAGGAGAGGGCTTAATATAACTCTCATTTACCTAGGCTTAGGACTGATTAAGAGACCATAGGTGGAGTTATTTGGTAGGGGCCTTTGTAGAACAAGCACCATAACTGCTAGGTTATTGTGCATTTAGAGCATGTTAAAATGGATGTGTTGTGTGGCCACAAGAAAAGACAATATACAATAAGGTGTCAAGAGAGTCCCAAAAGATGATTTGGTGAGTGCTGACACCTATCGTGGAAAAAATGACAGAAAATCTGTTAAGATGATTTGGATACATATGAAGAAGGCCGTTGGAGGCATTGGTGAGGAGAGAGTATCACATGATTTGAAATCCTATGAAAAGGGGTAAAGAGAGTATATAAAGATATTATAGTGTGTTTAGATGGGAAATTTAAATGGAGTAATTCATTTGTTTGAAGAATTTCAAATTTTTTTGAGGTGAAATATCTTGTTTGAATGGAGAATTTATAAAGAATTTGAAATTTAAGCATTTGTGAAATTCTTTGAATAGTAAAATTTCAAATTGTCCAAAAAAAAGAAAATTTTTGAAATTCCTATTTTTTTTCTTCTTATTTTACATATATATTTTATGTTATCTTTTATCTTTTCATGTTTTTAATTATTGAATATTCAAAAATATTTTTAAAATTATTAAATATTATCTAATATTAATTTTTTAAATTATTAAATATTTAAAAATTAGCTAATATTTATTTTTATAAAATTTAATTTAAAAATCTCATCATATAAATATATTTTTAAAATCAATTTTACCATGGTGGAATCAAATTATATATCTAACCTAACAATTTAAAATTTGAGAAATTTGAATTAATTTATCCAAAATATTTTAAGAATGATAGAAATTGAAATCAAAGTAATTCAAATATCAAGAATTTAAAATTTCTTGAATTTGAAAAATTCCTCATCCAAACCCACCATTAGGGAAATTATTTTTTTAAGGAATCTGTAAATAATATTCTTGAGAATTTGGTTCTTAACTGAGCCCTCGTCGTGTAATCCAAATAGCCGATCTCACCTTGTGGGATAAGGCTATTGCTATTTACAGCTGATATGTAATGTCCATTTGTTTCTCCAACTATTTTGTGGTTTATTTATTTATTTTATCGTTTTTGTCCATAGGCCATATTGGAGGTGTTACTTCCCAAATACTCAAGCAATAATCTATGTTGTTGATTCAAGTGACACCGAAAGGCTTGTGATTGCTAAGGAGGAGTTCCATGCAATTTTGGAGGTATTTGTCATTCCTGGTTTGTGATGTGTTTTTACATTTACATTTATATATTCATGTAACTATTTTAGCTATCATTGACTTGTGAGGAATTATAATGAGGAGTGTGAATTTGAACATTTCACTTATGACAACTTGTACAAAATTAATCTAGGCTTGGACTGTAAAAATTGCTTACATTACAAGTCATTCAGATAACTGATCTAAGATCTCAGTTCGATTGCTTCATAAAATACTCTTGTACTTACAAGTAGCTGATATCATGGGAGACAGGTAGCTCTAAGTTGCATTTCTTAACCTATTAGTCATGTGAAGCTTCAGCAATTGCTAAGAGGGTGAATAGAGGAATGCTTCAGGTGTTATTTGTGGTAGAAAGCTTTCACGTAAGCTAAGAGGAAAACTTTGTTCATAGCCACAAGGACACCAATGATATACAGTATTGAATCTTAAGCAGTAAATTGTCTACAAGAGCATTTGATAAATTTTGCAAAGCTGAGACTGTTTAGCTGGATCGGTGATGAGTTTTGGAGTGGTTTTCATGGCTCAAATTTCATACAAGAATACACTCATTGATTCTCATTTTTTTTTTTTAAGTTATTATATAACTAATGTATTTTTGAAGTTATTACTTTAAATGTAACTTTTAAGTTATTGTACACTCGTTATTTGGTATGTTCTCAATTCTCCTTTGACACTGGTTTACAAAAATAATACTTGATACTAATTATTTTTCTGTACCTTTATTCCAGGAGGAAGAACTAAAAGGTGCAGTTGTTCTCATTTTCGCAAACAAACAGGTCACAATTTGATCTCTATTTGTTGGATTCTCATATTCCCTCCAGAGCAATAAGAAGGAAAGAATGAGTATATTAAAAGTTAGGAAGCTAATATTATTAATTGAAGTCTTTGCTAATTGAGATACGCCAAAAAAAAGTATATATTCAAGTTGTACTTAATTAGTTATATACACATGTACATCCATGATATTGACACGGCAATATACTTATCTTTTTATGTAAAACTGAATATTTGAACAATTATTTATCAATTCGTTCTAAATTCTCTTTTCACTACACAGGACCTTCCTGGTGCACTTGATGATGTTGCAGTGACGGAGTCTCTAGAATTACACAAGATAAAAAATCGCCAGTGGGCTATCTTCAAAACTTCTGCTATAAAAGGTGAAGGACTTTTTGAGGGCCTGGACTGGTAAGTCAATTAAAATTGAAAGGAATTACGATTTGAAATATCCATATATATTAGGTAGTAGGCACCTTTGCTATATATA